TGTCTGTCCAAGGAGAAAACTTGCTACAAAAACCTTGTACACCAGATATTTAGTTCTAGGACCCTTTTCCCACAGACCACAGATGCTGAGGTGGCTATCAGTCTATTGCCAACCAGTTCTACCAATACGTAGACTCATTGCTGGGATGGCCTCAAGCATCACCAGTGGGCACAACCGAAAGGGTTCTGGCTGATTATGAAATACACGGCTCTTGCTAACGCATAGGAAATGGTGGATGCTCATGTGTGATGGCTAGTCTCCACTGCCAATCTGGCTGGACCCAGATTCACCAAGAGAACATGCCTCTGGTGTGCCCATGAGGGGGTGTCCAGAGGATGAACTGAAGAGGAAGGCCTACTTTCTGGCTGCAGATGCAATGTCACCAGTGGCCCCGCATCCCTATCGCCATATCTACCCCTATGATAGACTGTGTCCCCTTATCCTCTAACCTTGTCTCTTGTCAGGGATTTTGTTTCAGCGACAACAAAAGTAACTAACATAAAAACTTGGGAGACAGCTCGGTTGATTGGTGCTTGCTGTGCAATTCTCAGTGTAGACCTCCAGCAGGAAAATCCAGGAGTGGCGGCATGTGTCTGCAATCCCAGTGATGGGGGACCAGAGGCAAAGGCTCATCCCTGAAGCTCTCTGGCCAATCAGTGAGCTTCAAGGTCAGTGAGAGACCCTGTCTCAAAATATAAGATGGAGAACAACTAAGAAAGACACTCAACATTGATCTCTGACCTCCGCAAGCACACATACATGTACCTGCACCTGCGAGTTCACACATAGACACACAGACACACACATACACACACACACACACGAAAACTTATGTATACAAAGTTAAATATTACTGCAACAGGCCTATTGACATCCGGGATCAAAGTTCACAAATTCTGATCTTTCAGGAGCCAGGCAGTCTATATAAATAAATACCGGAATAACTGACAGACAAGGATGTGTGATCAGGTAGAAAATGCCCCCGTCTAAACCAGAGCCACGACTGAGAGAATCAGTGTTGTCACTTAGGATCTGGGCACAGTGTCCCTATACCTTCCAGTTTATAAGTGCAAGAAAAACATGGATTGTTTATTAGCCAAATATTAGGAAAAAAGCTTTAGAATCTAACTAAATTCAGGAAGTGTTTGATTAATGCAGGTTTTCCTTCAGAACTTAACAGTCATCTTAATTCATTGCTACACAGCACCAAAGAAATGTTCCGCATGACTCTTAATTTACTTAATAAGTTTTATTTCCATATACTTCAAGGGACAAGTTTTATTTGGGGCATGTTGTCTTATGAAAGCCTTTGACGTCTAATCGACTCCTTTGTTGCCCCTCTGGAAGGGTCATGCGTGTGCATGTAAGGACGTTGTGAGATCACACACACACACACACAGGCAACTATGTTAGGTGTTCTAACATCTCATACCAGAGTCCAGGAGGACTTCTCATGGGAGCACATCCTGAAGCCCTTGAGCTTGTTAAGGACTAAGTGGACCCTTGACCCCCTCGGTGGACGAAGAAGCACTTAGTGAAATCCCAGGCACTGCGACACATCACGCCCCGTCTTCTGTCTTTCATCTGCTGTGCTACATAGCTTAGCACCAGGAAAGACAGCCAAGTGCCACCATGCACAGATGTTCTGCTTTATTTACCCATGGGGAAGAAAGGGGAGGGTAACTAAATCTGGCATGGGAATCTGCAATAAAAAGATAAGACTAATATCATTGTGAGTCTTTAAAAATACCCTCTGTTTAGAAAAGTTTACAACACAGTGTGGAACATCAACTCATCAAAAGTAAACAATATAAAAATACTAAATATTATCTATGACAAGGTCAGTGAAGGAGCAGGGAAAGTGGTTTTGAATGGTCAGTGAGAATTAACATGAGCCATCCTTGATCCCAAGGAAGCATTAGAAGGTGGAGGTTGGGACAGGACTCCACTCAGGGAAGAGGAAGCAGAGATACAGAGGGGGAAGATTTCGGAATCACAACACACCATGTACATGTTGTGAAATGGGGCTGAAACAGTCTATGTCTCCACTGGGCACCCAGCCCATAAGGGAATCTGGCTTTACTTGTGTAGGGAACAGGAAGCCTTCGAATGATTTCATGACTTTGCCATATTCAGGGAAATTGAAACGACGGGGTTCTGAAGGTGCTAGTGAGGCAGGGGTCCTCAGCAGGACCTGGGAAAAGGTGACAAGAGTCTGGGCTGGGAAGCTGATGGTGGGAACTAAAGGAAATGATGTTCTTAAGGAAGGGTATGATCTAAAGGAGTTAATCTAGGGACTTTAGGTGCAGTCAAGGAGAGAGACACAGAACAGAGCCCGCGTCACTGACAACAGACTGGCTTACACAGATTGCTGTATGTCACAGTCAGAGAGGGGGACATCTAAGCAGACATGTTTAATCAGCTCATCAGCACTGTGCACCTAGAACCTGTGAATGACAAGCAAATACGGTGGGTTAAAACACTGCTGTGTCTCTGCCGTGTACGATATCCTTCACCTATGTGATTAGGAGAAGGAAGAGTTGAACTGTGCAACACAGCAGTATCAGCACAGATGTCTGTCAAATCAGGAGGGAGAGAAGATTGAATGAAGACTAATTCATCACACTTTCCTGGTGCCCTTGTACTACACAGATGCATATAAAAGTACTAAACCACAGCACAGCATACGGCAGACTTCCAAGTTCTCTACATTGGTTCTGTGTTTTAGGCAATGATGGAGGTGAGGGGGGAAATGAATGATCTTTATTCCTTACTATTATTCTCCTCTTTGAGGGAGATGAACAGACACAAAAGAGAAGTCGCGAAGGTAGCAGAGGACAAAGTCTTGGGAAGTGTTTCCACTCGCTGAGATACACAGGGACAAAAAGTAAATCGTCTCCTTAAAAAATACTAGCCATGCAGCCTTGGCTAGCCTGGAGCTCACGATGAAGACCAGGCTGGTCTTAAACTCATAGAGATTTGCCTGCCTCAGCCCCCAGAATGCTGAGATGAATTAATGGCACGTGCTACATGGTGAGACTCTGTCCAAAACAAACAAACAAACAAACAAAAAAGCAAACAAAATCTTCATGACCGATTACACACCCTCTCACGTCAGCAGACTTTCCTCTCACAAGCCAGTCAGGAGTCACCCATTCTAACTTCAGGCTCTGGGGCAGGCTGGGGTCTCCAGTGTCCCTGTCATTTGCATGTGGGGTTGGGAGCCCAGGTGCAGCAGGCAGATCAACAGGGCAGGACAGCTGTTTCCATAGCACTCACCACCAGTCATTTTTTATTTACCACAGGTCTCCAGGGTGAGCTGGGCCCATGCTTCCCTGCTCCTTAGCAACCAGGAAAGGCATGCGACAAAATGCTCAGAACAAGGGGGAAAAATGGAGAATCCATAAATAGAAAGAACAGAGGAGCAGGGGAAGGGTAGACTGGCCAGCTGAGGGGGCATCTCAGCGTGCAGCAGCTGTTCAACACCAAGCGTTTTCACACACAGCACTCTGAGTCTCTGAGAATTTACAAATGCATTGCACCCAGTATTACAACATCAGGTAATCGCAGACTTAGTTATTAGTTCACGGCAGAAGAACTTCCAAGATAGCGTGTGAGTATCCTTTTGAACACTGTAACAAGAGGCACAAGCGTTAAAAACTTCCGCAAGACGCTGTAGTAGGAATATCTGTGTTAGGATCTGTGAAAAATACACACAGAAAAAAAATCATCAGTTTGCATAGACTGCCCTGGAATTCTTGCTGTAAGCGGCAAGGGTATGCTGGGAGGGATAGTGGCTGGGGTTCTCTCAAAAGCACCCACAGAAACGCATCCCCACTACTGTGGATCCATATCTGAGTTGTCCATTTAAAAATGCACGTACAATGAACTATTAATAGCTGACGCACAGCCTGGCACCACAGCTAACACCTATAACTGCAGAACTTGGAGGCTGGCACAGAATTGCTGAAGGCTTGAGATTGGCTTGGGCTACATAGGAAGCTGCAGGCCAGCCAGACAGGTGAGATTCTGTGTCAAAAAGCAAAACAAACAAACAAGCAAACAAACAAATAAAAATGAAAGAAAAGATAATTGATACACGTATTTCTTTAAATTAGGCAATATGTTATCATCACCTAAAACGCGAGTAGAGCAGAGATGCGAGGGCCCCTGCCAGACTCTTCACTAAGTAAAACCCACACAAAGGAAAATTACCATGAAAAAGTTGACAACGCTCTTGTAAATTTCCACTTATACAACCAAATTACTATCATAAGGCATAATGGATAACCGTTATTCCTGTCTGCTGAAACACTGCTGTTGTGTCTGCGACCAGCATTTATGTGATGAATCCCCACATAACCATGGCAGCAGAGCAGCCCCCCAAACACGGATGCAGCGACTGCAAAGATAGTTTTAGAGACTGGATCCAATGGGACAACGGTGTATTCTAGCATAAATAGGCTCTGACACTTTACTTCCTCTGCTGCCCTTCAAAACTGTTCAGTCCTTGATGCTCGTGGTGCTCAGATACCACAATTCCATTTGCCTCCTAACTCTTGAGATTGTCAGTGACCGGATCCCAAGGAGCCTGGCAGAGGTTAGGACTTGTCGAGCACGGTTGGTCTTACAGAAAGTCTCTCAAGGGTTCATGGGTTCCCCAAAGAAGAGGGACCTGAACGTAACAGTCCTGCTACTGGCTCCATAGCCAGGTGTCCATCGTGAGAAGAACACCGGCCCTCTGGGAGGAACTCTGCTCCATGCTGGGGTCTGCTTTCTGAGCCCCCCCCACCCCCAAAGGAAAGTAAAAAATAAAATAGCAGAGAAGCCACTGTAACAGCTTCGCCCTGTTGGGAATGGCTACACAAAATAAGGGGGGGGGGGAGTGACCTGTGATCTAAAGGACTTCACAACAAACTTTCAGATTCAGTTAGCAATAGCACGCTATCCACACAGGGTCCTGTCTGCAGAAAATGATAAAAACGCGCTGGTTCTCCTACCTGCCTGCTTTCCCTCTGGGAGGACGTTGAGGCACTTCTATGGGTCGGAGTGGATGTTTTATGAGCAGGGGATATGCCCTTCTCGTCTGAACTCATCACGGCAGTTAGTCTAGGGGTGTGCACGTGAGACCATCCCAATCCTCCTTCCGACTCCCAGACGAAGAACCGGACAAATGGCAGCTTTAGTCCATCTCACACAGATCAGACTGGACCAGGAAAGCACAGGTTACTACTGGGGTGTCCAAATCACCTAAAAACAAAACAGAAAGGCTCACGTCATTTAAAAGAAAATAAAAATCATTCTATTTAGGGTAAAATTAATTTGCATTAACAAAGGGAAGAATATACATTTAGAAGCGCAGGTCTGGGGCTCAGAGACATCGAAGCTGAAGGCACAAGTTATGATAATGATAAAAATGTACAAAATGATTCATATATGAATTCTGAAATTTCTATATGTGTAAGGAAATTTCATATAAGTCTATAGTTATATTTTTAGAATTTCTAACGTTATGTAACAGATTATGTGAATTTGAATGTGGTAGGATCTTATGATTAGGATCTTAGTGATCACCTAGATACAGACAAGAATTGAAATAGCAGTCCCTTGGTTGGGCAGGTAACTCAGAACACTTGTCAAGGATGGTCAATTTGGTGTTCAATCTGACCACCCTAACCTAATTAAGTAATTATTAATTTAAAAAGAACAATCTCAACAGTTAAGAGAACTCTCCTGACCTTGTAAACCTGGATGCTCTAAGTGACTGAAGCTTGTAATCCTGTCTCAGGATTTTAAATCCCCTGCTATTCTATTAAAATAAAAACTGCTTAGCTGAGCGGGAGCAATGGCTCAGTAGGTAAAGAGCTGCTCTCCCAGAGGACCCAGGTACATTTTCCAGCACCCATATGGTGACTGATAGGCTATAAGTCCTGTTTTAGGGGATCCAGCTCCTTCTTCTGACCTTCAAGGGCACCAAGCACACACACGGCACACAAACACGCATTCAGGGAAAACATCCACACACGTAAAAACATTTAAAATCTTAGAAAATAAAAATAAACCATCTATCGTCCAAACTGGAAGAATAGATTAAAGCAAAATTAGCCTTCGTGAGCCATAAATTCAAAGAGCCAGAGGCCCTTTTGTCAAACAGCAAAGGCTTCAGCTCGGACTGGCAAAAGGCAGTAAAAAAGCCCACACCGCGGATGATCATCCAATCTGCTCGGCAAAGGCAATCTACCAAGTGTGAATCAAGATTCCGAAGCCAAGTCCTGGTGCCTGGAAGCAGAAAAGTGAGAACGCTATTTAGATCGTTGATTCAAAGGACTTTGTTTTCTGGCCCAAGATGTTTTACAAGTAGATGCTGACACTTGAGCCAAAAGTGTGGCGGCTTTGCGATGTGTTCAAGCGCTCCTGTGGGATGGGGCTGAAGTGGCCAACCTATTAATCCAATATCTACTCAGACACAAATTCAATCCAAGTTTCAGGCCCTCTGTTAGTCTGATATACAACCTCCCTCCCCCCACCCTGTTCCCAGCTCTTTCTTCCTTCTCCCCTCCCCACCCCAGTACATCCACCTGCACTGTCTTCATTAGTATCAATGCTAATATATTATTTTAACTCGACATTTTCAGGGCAACTTGTACATAATTAAACCATGTCAGTCTTATTGTATTATGAATACATTTAAAAGCTGTCAAAACCAAAGAAAATAATGGATAAAGAACTAAAGGCATCCCAAGATCCAATTTTGAGGTTATTGTTATCGATGAATTTGGGATCTCATGTTTTTAAACAAAAGGTGTTGTGTGGCTTTTCCTGGGAGACTGGGACAACTAATCTCAGATAGTGAACCAATTGCAGATAGAAATTCAATGCAGTGAACCACTGAGTTTATTGGGGTTCCATACAGGAGTATGGGTGAGGGGTTACATATAGGAGGAGCACAGACAACCCTAAGCAACTGCATCACTAAAAAAAAAAAAGAAAGAAAGAAAGAAAGAAAGAAAAGAAAAAAACCAACAACAACCCATCCCAGCATGGATGATGGTTCATGAAAGCCAGATCCCTTCAGCTCCCCATATGGCTTGTGGTAGATGTCAGAGTTTGAGGCCAGCCTAGTCTACAGAATTCCATGACAGCCAGGGGTACACAAGAGAAATCATGTCTCAAAAAACCAGAGAAAGAGAGAGATAAACACACTCTGCTCCCGTGCTTGAGTAATAATAATAAAACAATTTGAGGTCAGAATCCTAAGAGACCACCCCCCTCATTCCATTAGCCTTCTCTGTCACGTGAGGGTAAGGCAGTGACAGAGCAGCGGGCACTGACCGAGTGTGAGGTGAGCATGCTCCACACTCCCGTTCACAGGAACACTCCGCTTTATATAAACGAGGAGAGAATAGGGCCTAGGAAGTCAATGGCTGCAGTCCTCAGCTTGGTTTCCATCTGCTTGCTATTAGCATCCCCACAAAGAACTTACTTTTCCAAAGGACTGTTATCTGTGCAGGCTGAGAGGACCCCAGGAACAAGCTGTGTGATGCTTAATGTGAGGTCACAGGACAATGACTGTTTGGCGTGTTGACCATGGGTCCTGCTGACTTGGGCCGCTCTGTTACCATCCCCTGGTCGTTTTGCTAGTACTAACGTTTAAAGACTAGTCTGTTACTTTTCATTCATCATCGGGGTTTTGACCTCTCTGGCATGTTAAAAAGGAAGACTGCGTAACGTCACCGTGTGCCTTACAACAGGAAGAACAACCCTGAGAAATACAGTTCCTGATGACGCTAACAGACAAGGACAGGATGCAAAAGCTTTCAGCTCTGCTCTGTGGCCTTAGCATTTACAAATTCTTGTCCATTTTGTGCACATTTCTATTCAGACAGCCAGTGACCTTGAAGGTGCCCTATTTTGAGGAGGAATTTTCTGTCAAAACAACCATTCTCCACTTGGAGCTCCTGGGTCAACTAAAGTTAAAAATGTCCCTAAAGTGACCCTTGTACACTGCCAGCAGAAATAAAAAAATGGCACGGCTGCCATAGAAATCAAATGCTTCAACTATTCCTTAAATGTTTGTAAACAGGTGACTGTGTGATTCATTCCATCTCGAAGTAAGTGCTCCAAAGAACTAAAGGCTGGAGAACATACCATGCACACACTCATATCCACACAAACAATCCCAAGACGCAGAAACAACCTCAATATCCACCAACAAAGGAATACATAAAAGTAGGGAGTATTCTATTCAGAGACCAGGATATTACTTAGACTTGAAGAGAAAGGAAATTCTAACAAGCATGGTTCTCTACGGTCATAGAACTTACGGAATAAACATCTCTCCCTGCAGTAAATATGGGCTTTATTGGAATGACTTACGGGCTGAAGCCCAGCTAATCCAACAGTGGCTGGCTAGGAAGGGAAAAGTCTGAGAACCCAGTGGCTGCTCCGTCCCACAAGGCTGGGTGTCTCAGCTGGTCTTCAGAGCATGATGGAATCCTGAGGAAGTAGACTCCGATGCCAGTGAAGGAGTGGATGTGGTGGCAAGGGGAGGGGCAAGCAGGCAAAGAACAAAAGCTTCCTATGTCCTTATACAGACTTCAGTCAGAAGACGAGGCCCATATTAAAGGTGTGTCTTCCCGCCTCAAGATTTGAATTGAAGGCATAGATCTCCTTGACTCAAGGTCCAGATCAAAGGTCTGGACTAGAAGTGCACAAACCACCTCAGACCAAGCAGAGAATCTCTCACAGGTGTGCTCTCCATATCTGGATTGTAATTCATTCAGATATAGTCCAGTTGAGAACAGAGACTAGCCGTCAGAGTAGGGGGAGGGACAGAGAGGGAGAGCAATGAAAGAGATATCTTGATAGAGGGAGCCATGATGGGGTTAGGGAGAAACCTGGTGCTAGGGAGAATTCCCACGAATCCACAAGGATGACCCCAGCTAAGACTCCTAGCAATGGTGGAGAGGGTGCCTGAACTGGCCTGCCCCTATAATCAGATGAGTGACTGCCCTAATTGTCATCATGGAACCTACATGCAGTAACTGAGGGAAACAGATGCAGTGATCCACAGCTAAGCACTGGGTCTAACTCCTGGTGTTCAGTTGAAGAGAGAGAGGAGGGATCATATGAACAGGAGGGTCAAGACCATGATGGGGAAAACCCCAGAGACAGCTGACCTGAGTGGGTGGGAGCTCACGGACTCTAGACCCCCTGAATGTGGGTGACAGTTGTGTGGCTTGATCTGTTTGTAGGGCATCTGGCAGTGGGACCAGGACTTCACCTGGGTGTGACTTTTTGGAGCCCATTTCTTATGGTGGGATACTCTGTTCAGCCTTGATGCAGTGGGGAGGGGCCTGGTCCTGCCTCAACTTAGCATGCCAGTCTTTGTTGAAGCCCCCAGAGAAGCCTTGCCCTCCGTAAAGAGTGGTTGGGGGATAGGATGGAGGAGGGAGGGTGGGAGGAGAGGAAGGAGGGAGAATTAGGATTGGTATATAAAATGAAAAAAATAAATAAATAGCCATCACAATGGATGAGTCCTGAAGGAAACATGCCACATGAAACAAGCCAGATACAAAATGGCAAACGCTGCCAGGCCGCATTCCTACTGGAGACCCAGGGTGAGCGTCCCACAGACAACAGGAGCGGCGCCTACCAGGATGTGGGGGAGAGGACACAAAACTGATGCTTCCAGGACTGGATCTAGAATTCCAATTTGGAAAATGAGAACAGTGTGGGAGTGGATAGCAAATGGGAAATCACTCAGTGCCACGCTTTTCGCCTGAAATCGTAATTAGAAGATGTGATGTGATGTGTGTGTGCGATCACCATAGAAACGTTCCCCACCATCAGCTATGCTGACTGGTACAACATCCGGGCACTATTTTACACCATTTTTGCAGCCAGGTTTCATCATGCGATCGTTAGAACTGTTGCTCCAGCCTGTTTCATGCCTCCATTTCCACACGTTTCAAACATGTCTGCTCTCTGTTTATCTGGCGTGGTTCTACAGCATCCCTGAGGGAAGGGGCAGTCTGACTTCTGTCATCGTGGTTCTACGTCACGAGCCACAAGCACCACTCTGGGCACGGACTGAGCTTATCACGTCAGCTCCGTTCCAGCCCCTCCGTTTTACCCATTAAGCAGCTGACTGGGCTCACACACTGGCTGTAGATAACCTTACTCTTACGTCACTTCTTTGATATTACCGTATATGCTTGAAGATAACCCTAAGTAATCCAAACGAATTA